TACCATTCTCCCCTCTACTGTCAGTGTGGCTCTGTGGCCGAAACAGTTGCATATGACGTTGTTCTGGAAGTTGCCATGAAGGCTCAACATTTTCAACAACGCAACCTGTTGCTGTATGGTTCGTGGAAGTGGCTTCTTAATGAATTTGCTACATATTATGGGATTTCTGATGTCTATACCAAACTGAGGTGATGTTCATTCATTTGCTGAGAAGTTGAGTTTTTTAAAAATTTCAAACTGTTCCATAACGGCATAACCTGAAGTAGGATTTCTGTTGCACCTTATAAGTTGGGCAACATTAATAAGCTTGCAAATGTTGTCCATCCATAATTTTCTAATCCAGTGGCCCTACTGCATGCATACATTGCGCTATCAACAGGTACCTTTCCTATATAATGGACGTAGCTACACCAACAGCTGATTGCCTGACTTTGGTGTATGATTTACTAATGCCGGTGATCATGAAAGGCCATAGCAAGGGTATGCTAAGTCATCAAGAGGTATTTTCAACTTTTGTTCTTTTGCATGACTACATAACCCATCGTGGCGGAGTGTGACTTTCATCTTCATATGTATCATAACTACATTGTTTTAGCTGTTTAATAATGTTCGTGCAACTCGGGGAGAATATTTTGCTTTGCCTGTTCCTGGTTGCTTTTCTAATTGATGTATTTGTTTTGCTCACAGAACCGGATATTGGGGGAGATCAAGGATCAGATTGAACAGATTCTTTCTCTAGTTTTTGAGAATTACAAATCTCTCGATGAAACATTATTCTCGGGTATCATGGATGTTTTCAAGCCCGCAACTGCGGTTGCAGCATCTGCGTTGGAACCTGCTGTAAAGCTGTACACTCTTCTAAGTGATGTATTGTCTCCCGAGGCACAAACTAAGCTCACTCACTATTTCCAGGTACCAAGTGTTGAGGTTCTTACTGATCCTCTTACTTTTGATTCCTTCCAATCACCAATATTTCTCTGCTTCAGGTTGCTGCAAAAAAAAGGTCGAGAAGGCATTTGAGTGAGACAGATGAATATGTAACCAATAACAATGAAGGAATCTTAATGGACCCCATCGCTACTACCATAGCATATCAGAAGATGACTTCCTTATGTATGAACATAAAAAATGAAATTCACACTGATATTGAGATCCACAATCAACACATACTCCCCAGGTATAAATCTTCTCTTATACGCCATTATTCATTAACAATGTGTAAGTGCGATGTTGATTTCATTGCAACTTTATTTATGCTCTTTATGTTATTAAATAATTTTGTTTGTTAATCTCTAAAAAATGATTCTTTTCAAGTTTTCCAATTTTCAAGCATGTTTGATCCTGAGTTGAACAACGAACATCTTAAAACTGAGGTCGTCCTGCATTGACATTCGTGGAGGATATAGCATGTCTTTCGCGCAGTCAAACTGTTAGCTTATGCAATGTGCTTCTCTGGAGATAATGCCTTTTAATGAACACCCACAAAGTCCTTGGTCTGCCATTATACTCTAAAATACAACCACTTAGTGCTTGAAACCCTTGTATTTTAACGTTCAATTGCAGAATTCCATCGCTGATTTGTTGCTTGATTCTTAACAAGAATTATTGTTAGGTTTTAGTGATGAACTGTATTGCCCAACTCTTTGTTAAATTTATGTCTTTGAAACCTTGAACTCTATATGAAAGCATAGTGAGAACTCGGGGTCTTAATTCCTTAAAATCATAGTTATGTGCTTGCACTGAAAATTCTCCACACTTGCAACTTCTCTGACAATTTTTTTGCTCTTTCTGAATCTTCATTAAATATGCTGGCCTTTAGATAGCTAGCTGTCTTTAATTCCTACTATTTCTCCAAATGCTGAAGACCAGAGCATGCATATATGACTTAACATTCTCACGTCTCTTTCTTGCAGTTTTGTAGACCTTCCAAACTTATCTACATCCATATACAGCACCGAGCTTTCCAGTAGATTGGGAGCATTCCTTGTTTCATGTCCCCCATCTGGTCCTTCACCACACGTTGCAGAACTTGTTATTGCAACTTCAGATTTTCAGAGGGAGATCGCCAGTTGGAGCATTAGGTTTAGCACTTGCTCCTAGTAGACACTTCATTCGTTCTATCTAACTTAATTTATTGACATCGTGCTTACTGACTTTAGCTTTCTTCTTTTCTGTTTAGTCCTGTGAAAGGAGGAGTTGATGCAAAAGAGTTATTTCATTTGTATATCATGCTATGGATTCAAGACAGACGGCTTTCTCTTCTTGAGTCATGTAAATTAGATAAGGTACGTGCTCTTGCAAAATAGAAAATGGTTTTTTTTTTGTGTCTTGTATTTCTTTCGGAAGACGATATTGATTCATAAATCTGATGAGTGTTAGATGATTTTTTTTCCCCGTTTAATTTACAGGTGAAGTGGTCAGGTGTTAGGACACAACATTCTACCACTCCCTTTATTGATGAGATGTATGAGAGGTTGAGAGAGACTTTGGATGACTATGAAATCATTATCCGCCGCTGGCCAGAATACATCTTTGTATTAGAAAATGTAAGTTATTGAGTTTGAATTCCCTGAAGCCTTCTGTCTTGTGTTATCCAGTTGAATACCAGTAATCATTTGAGTCAATTTCCCAACACTTAGCATTGTGCGAAAAAACGAAAAAGAAAAAATAGGATTCTCTTACCATACATTGGAACTAAATGGAATTGTACATCGTTAGACCAGTTGTCCTTGGCTAAGTGCTTCCATTTGAATTTCAACTATGGAACAGATTGGCTCAGGAGTTTATGATTTAGTTATTGTGTAGCAGATGTCTGAGATGTCTGCTTCTCAATTTTGTGGGTGGCAACTTAGCCTTGAACTCTGTATAGGAATATTATGCCATGCCGTTGATATTTATTATGAACTGATGTTTGGTTGGCTCTGTATTGGGCAAAAAAGGCAATTGCTGATGTTGAGAAGGCCGTTGTGGAAGCATTGGACAAGCAGTATGCTGATGTTCTTGCACCAATGAAAGAGAACCTGGCACCAAAGAAGTTTGGATTTAACTATGTCAAGAAGCTCACGAAACGTTCCGTGTGTTCTTACACTGTTCCTGACGAGGTATGATTCTTCTTCTTTCTGTTGTACCATTTAATAATGTTCCTCTCGGATTGCTGGTTTTTTTAACAATTCTCAGTATAATTAATGACCTCAAGATGTTCTTAAATCATGGTTATCGGTTTCATTTTCAGCTTGGAATCCTGTTGAATTCAATGAAGAGAATGCTAGATATCTTGCGTCCCAAGATTGAGACGAGGTTCAAGTCTTGGGGGACATGCATACCTGATGGGGGCAACACACTCCCTGGGGAACGTCTAAGTGAAGTGACTGTGATGCTGAGATCCAAGTTTCGGAGTTATCTGCAAGCTGTTGTGGAAAAACTGGCAGAGAATGTGGGTAACTTGATGCATTTAAAGTTTCATGCATCATTTAGTATTTTAGTTATACTATTTGAGATGAGTTTTTAAATTTCCAGTTGAAAAACCTGCATATTAATCTTGTCTTTTCCTCGGCCTCTAATGTTTCTAAGTTGGTATTATAATTGTTTCTCATATCATTGTTCTGGTTGTTATATAACAGACGAAGTTGCAGAATGTGACAAAGTTGAAAAAGATACTCCAGGATTCAAAAGAATCAGTTGGAGAATCGGATATGAGGGCCAGAATGCAGTCCCTGAAAGAGCAAATAACCAATACTGTGAATCACCTCCATTCAGTATTCGAGACTCATGTCTTCATTGCAATATGTCGTGGATATTGGGACAGAATGGGGCAGGATGTTTTGAGTTTCATGGAGAACAGAAAAGAGAACAGGTCGTGGTACAAAGGCTCACGAGTTGCAGTCTCTGTAAGTTAAACTCCATCATCCCAACTGTAGTTTCACTAATCCCTATCGAAATACTCTGCTCCGGTCTATGGCTTACTGATGAAATGCTTGACGCGTTGGTTTCAATCTACTTTGGTGGGCAGGTGTTGGACGATGCCTTCGCGTCGCAAATGCAGGAGGTTCTTGGGAATGCGATACAAGACAAGGATGTTGAGCCACCCAGATCGATCATGGAAGTTCGCTCAATGCTCTGCAAGGATGCACCGAATCACAAGGATAACGGCTACTACTACTGATTGATACACGTTTCCTTGTCCGAACAATGAGTGGTAGGCTGGTGGTAATAGGGTTAATAGTCAGGTGCTCCTGCTGCTGCTACCGATTTTGTAAAGGAAGGAGAACCAGCACCTCTGCTGCTCTCTCTTGAGATTAACCACACCCTTTAACATTGCCTGTTTTTTGTGTTATTGTCCTCTTACTGTGTTTTGCAGTGATCCTCAGTGTATAGAAGCTAATTCTTTGAACTCATTTATCTCTAAATATATAGAGCGACGAGTTTTTTTTTCCTTCCAATTTCTTTTCAGTAACGGCGTGGAATAAGATTAGGTGCTAACCTCCCAAGGAGTTAGCACCGTTCTAATAAGATTAGATGAACCCGATCCGGTGTTGAGGTCATCAGAGCCACCAGTGCCACCATGATGGCTGAGATGGACAAGTAGCAGCCGGAGAAGTTTGTTCTCGCCAAGTTGAGATGGTAATCTCTCCAGAAATGATATGATTCGTATTAGTAGTGTTTTCTTCATTAGCGATTTTGTAGTGGACAAGTAGTGATGTGTGTTATTTTTAAACGATTGTGTAGTATGTATTTTTGAAAAGTGGTTTCCTCTTTACCTAACAGTGATTTTCCATTTGTAAGCATTGATTTTATGCTTATGTTATCATTTCCCTTTAAAATTCATCAATTACTACTACTCATGTAAAATGAGTTAATCACTAACCATACAATTAAATCACTACAAGAAAATATAAAATCACTACTAATTTAATAGTAGTAATTTTCCAGTACTAGTTTTTTCCGTTAAAACTTCTATTAAGAAATATAGAAATATCTTTTCAAATTTAATTTATTTATTAAATTAATTTCTTGAAATACCAAATAAAACTGTTGGGGGTGTTACTAAATACTCCACGCGCGGACTAAATAAGGGCGCGCTCAATCGGTAACGTGCTCCGGACGAACGCCACTACGAAGTATTTAAAGGCATGAAACTCCCCATTGAGGGGGACTTCTCCTCTCTCCTCACTTTTCCACTTTCTACTATCTCTCTACACTTTATCTCTCTATCTATTCTCTCAACTCTCTCCACAAACTTACACTAACTTGATCGTCGGAGCTTAATCCGGGGGGCAACCCCGGCACTTTTCACAGGTTTCTTCCCTCCCGACGAGATCAGACGAACGGATCATGAGTCAACCCCACACCAACAATCATTATTGTTCATACCTCGAGCTAGTAGGTTCAAACAATTGGCGCCCACCGTGGGGCTGATTTGGATTCGTTCGTTCGTTCGCGGAAGGAGAGAGGACTAAAGAGGAGCCACCGCACCACCTCCGAGCCAGCAGCTCCCAGCCGGGAGAGGTCGTCCTCCATGGATGTACGTTTTTGTTTCTTCTTCGAGGGGGAAGGATCTCCCACTACTCCAGCTGGGACTGGGAGAGATTGAAATAAAAGCTCCCACAGATTCCGACCGCCGGAGAAAGGGGCGGCACCGGCGACCTGACGAAAAAGAAAGAAGAGCCACTCTCCAGTCAACATCAGTACTTCTATTCAGTCACCTCAACAGTAAAAAAAAAAAAAAAAAGCCACCTTCTCTCCTGTCAGAGGGAAGAGACAAGTGAAGTTCCCAAGAAGCCACCTTCCTCCAGCCCATCCTTCTTCCTGTCAGAGGGAAAAGACAGGCGAAATTCCCAAGAAGCCACCTCTTCCTCCAGCCCATCCTTGCTCCACTCCCGCGTCAAAAAATGTCATCGCCGCTAGTACTCGAACCAGCGCCACTTCTCCATCAGACGTACAAGTTAACCAACGAACTAAAGCGCTTTGTTATTACTAAAAGCGCAGCGCGCCCTATTTATTCACTCTGACTCGCCTCAACAGCAATGCGCAAAGTGGGCTCTCGGACAACTCGCGGCCCACCTCACCGCCTGTCCAACTCGCGGACGATCTCCAAGGCCCACCTCGCGCACAACTTCGTCCGCTCCCAAGCTCGAGGCACAAGCATCGCGCGCAAGCCCAACTCGCGGCCCAACCCGCGCAGCGTCTTCCCACGGCCCGCGACTCGCGCAAGCCCAACTCGCGTCCGGCCCGCGCCTGTCCAACTCGCGGACGATCTCCAAGGCCCACCTCGCGCACAACTTCGCCCGCTCCCAAGCTCGCCGCACAAGCATCGCGCGCAAGCCCAACCCGCGCATCGTCTTCCCACGGCCCGCGACGCGCGCAAGCCCAACTCGCGGCCCAACTCCCGCGGGCATTCAACTGATCAGCACTCTTCAAAAAAATGTCGTCGCAGCAAGGACTCGAACTCGCGCCACTCCTCCAACAGGCACAAGCATCGCGCGCAAGCCCAACTCGCGGCCCAACCCGCGCAGCGTCTTCCCATGGCCCGCGACTCGCGCAAGCCCAACTCGCGGACGATCTCCAAGGCCCACCTCGCGCACAACTTCGCCCGCTCCCAAGCTCGCCGCACAAGCATCGCGCGCAAGCCCAACCCGCGCATCGTCTTCCCACGGCCCGCGACGCGCGCAAGCCCAACTCGCGGCCCAACTTGCGCGGGCATTCAACTGATCAGCACTCTTCAAAAAAATGTCGTCGCAGCAAGGACTCGAACTCGCGCCACTCCTCCAACAGGCAAGCATCCTTACCAGCAGGCTACAAGCAAGCCTTGTGCTTCAATGGTGCAATGACTGCATTTGAACTACATCGCCGCACCACCCTACAGCCCATGCTTGCGGCCCACCGCCGCCTCAACACTCGCGGCCTACTCGCGTCACGCGTACCCGCCTCAAAAAATGTCCTCGCCGCGGGGACTCGAACTCGCGCCATTTGTGGCCAAACAAGCAACATCACCAGCAGGCTACATGCAAGCTTTGTGATCCTTAGGCGCAGTACTCTCATTTTAACGATATTCGGCGCACACCCACCAACTCGCGTCAAAAAATGTTGTCGCCGCGAGGACTCGAACCCGCGCCATCACTCCATCTCACAAGCGCTATTACCAATAGGCTACATACAAGCCTTCTGCTTCAATGGCGCAGCGTCTGCCTTTTAACAACACTTCGCGCCGCTTCGCCAACATAAAGCTAAGTACTCTATCCCTATTTCATTATTAAATTTTTAAATCTCAACGAAGCACACAAATAAGACTTCAATAAGAGCATCGAAGACTCCAAACTGAGGGTTAAAACCCCCGACGAGGAGAGCTCCAAACTGAGGGTTAAAAACCCCGACGAGGAGCTACAAATAAGTCTCAACGAAGCACACAAATAAGACTTCAATAAGAGCATCGAAGACTCCAAACTGAGGGTTAAAAACCCCGACGAGGAGAGCTCCAAACTGAGGGTTAAAAACCCCGACGAGGAGCTACAAATAAGTCTCAACGAAGCACACAAATAAGACTTCAATAAGAGCATCGAAGACTCCAAACTGAGGGTTAAAAACCCCGACGAGGAGAGCTCCAAACTGAGGGTTAAAAACCCCGACGAGGAGCTACAAATAAGTCTCAACGAAGCACACAAATAAGACTTCAATAAGAGCATCGAAGACTCCAAACTGAGGCTTAAAAACCCCGACGAGGAGAACTCCAAACTGAGGGTTAAAAAAAAACCCGACGAGGAAAGCTCCATGAAGAATCTACAATGAGTGAAGGCTACACGCCTTAATGAAATACACCAACTGGGGGGCAAGACGCAAGAAGCTGGCACCGCGTCAGTCAAACGCGCCACCAGCTGGGGGGCAACTAGGGTACATAGGGCTCCACCCAAAATTACCGACGAAGATTTTTTAAAAAAAGTAATAAGCTAGCGATGAGTTAAGACTCACCACCAGCTTGGGGGGCAATTGTTGGGGGTGTTACTAAATACTCCACGCGCGGACTAAATAAGGGCGCGCTCAATCGGTAACGTGCTCCGGACGAACGCCACTACGAAGTATTTAAAGGCATGAAACTCCTCATTGAGGGGGACTTCTCCTCTCTCCTCACTTTTCCACTTTCTACTATCTCTCTACACTTTATCTCTCTATCTATTCTCTCAACTCTCTCCACAAACTTACACTAACTTGATCGTCGGAGCTTAATCCGGGGGGCAACCCCGGCACTTTTCACAGGTTTCTTCCCTCCCGACGAGATCAGACGAACGGATCATGAGTCAACCCCACACCAACAATCATTTTTGTTCATACCTCGAGCTAGTAGGTTCAAACAAAAACCTTATTAATTTCCAGTGTCAGATTTAACTTAAAAATAAACGAAAATGAGAGTTATTAGCATGGTGCTAACCCCTATAGAGTTAACACTAGAACTCATCCCCCAACTTACCAATAATTATCAATAATTACAATGGTTATATCATTATCAATAATTACATACGTGCTTTGCAGATACTTACAGCATCCAGCCACGAAGATCAGAGATACTTTAGTCTCACTCAACAATTCACATCACTCATAAACAGGAACTAGGAGGTGAAAATCTCTCATACTTATAGGGAATGCAATAAGGCAGCCGATTTCTTAGCCAATTGCGGCCACAGTAGCAACATAGGCACTCAAAGTTTTGATGTCAAGGATTTAGGCCTTTCGTTTTGGGTCTTGTACGTTACTATGGGCATTGCCCTGTCTCGATTAATCTAATGTGCCAGGCAGGGGTGCCCTTTTAGCACCCCATCTTTCAACCAAAAAAAATAATTACATACGTGCTTTACTTTTGCTATTACATGCGTGTGTTACACTATTAATATGTATGAAGTTTTATATATCATTATGACATAACTTTATGTTTAAAAGTTCATCACTAAAATAAAATATTATGAATTTATAATATAAAATGATTAAACCATCAATTAAATTGCTTTAAATGTTTGTATTCAACATATTATACATATTTAGTATGTCAAGCATCAAACATACAAAATTGTTGAATCTTATTTCTTTCATCATATTATTTGTTGTTAAGTGTTATTAATTAATTAATTATATTAACTGTAGTGAAAATTTTTCCAACATAGATATTCATTCAACATTTATTAAAAACATTTATTTTGCTTCCAATGCCAGGTAAGGCCGCCTTACGCGCGCCTGGAGTCTTGTTGAATCTTTGCTCACCAGGGTGTTGCAAGGCAAGCCGTTAACTAATAACGTGAAAGGAAGGGTTGCTCCGACAATGGCGGAGCGGCGTAAAATCTGCGTTGCGTGTATGCCAGCCCGTCGATTTCCTTATCCCGCTACTTGTGTACACATCGGCTACACTCGGTGATGTCCTCGCCCAATAACACATCTGAAAAAAGAGATCTAATAGGTTCGAAAATGCGCCATAAGGAGATACTGCCTCATCTGTACAACAATGATGTGGAAGATGTGGGATGTTTGGCATTAGTGAGCAAATGATGAAACATTGGATGACAAGGTGGGGAGAGTACATGTTCCCACAATAACCCCTATATGCTTACGATGACGACCCATACTTTCCCTTTCTCGGTTTGGAATATGATGATACCGTTCAAGGTTGAGCAGTCATTTGGATCGAAGGTCGAGGTGATAAAGGCTTTGAAAGAAAAAGCGATGTAGAAGATCTTTCAGTATTGTGCCATTGCCTCCGAAGAAGGCTTCATGGGGAAAGTTGGTCGTGCATTTGTGAGAGTTTGGCTTACTTCACAAGATGGATAACATTCACATATTGCAGGTCGTCCGAATGCCAAGAAAGTAACTTAAACCATCAAGCATTTGGTGGAGGCACAATCCGCCATCACCATCAAAGAGGTATGCCGTGGAAAGAAAGGCCATGACTAACGTGTATAGTTACAGGTTTGGATCTGTTGCCTATCTTCAAAAGTTAATACTTAACCAAGACGAAGGGTCCAAGTATGACATAGAGACAAGGAACACGTGTGAGAGCCTTAATGGTGTGTGTTGACCTCCATGCAATCAATATTAGCTATCGTGGATCACATTTCTTCAGTATCGTTGAGTATTTTCAACCTAGAGTGAGAAGGATTCAAAATGAGATGAATCAATCATGGCAACCACCACGAGGACCAAAAAGTTGCTCCATGTTCAAAATGATAAGCGCACGACCACAGACCACAGTATGTAGTGTTTACAGAACCAAATTTGAGACTCGTTGGAGTTTTGAAGTGCTGTAGTTAAATCTCCCTTTTCAGTTTCCAGGGCTCACCAAAATGTGTACTGCTATAGCTCGAATGAAACAGAATTGAGTCATTACCTACCAAAGCATTGCCAACTCAAACATCATAAGATTCGAATATTTACAGGGGGTCGCATTCCTGGACTATATACATCAGATCATGAAAGGAGACAGGAGACCGAGAGAGAGAGAGACCGAGAGAGAGAGAGAGAGAGAGCGAGCTTACACAAGCAGAGGATCCTTCCTAGCAATGAACTTAGATTTCACTGGAAAAGAACACTTAGCACCCGACACAGGCAGACATTTACAAGATTAAATCAAATCAGCCGAAATCAAATCATTGTGTGGAACAACGACAAAGAATTGACATACAACATAGCTGCCGTGCAGAACAAGCATGGATGTGACATGGCGAGCTGAAGGAATCCCATCACCGAGAGAGCGTTCTCCGAAAGTCCTAACCCACAAAAGCCTAACTCAGAGAAGCTTTGAGATAATGTGGCATGAGGTCCAGAAGGCGTTAGTGGCAGCCCTCAGTATTAATGGGTTCTGGTATATCCTGTGTGGTTTATAAGGTGATAAAATCAGTAATTCACAGGTTAATATGGTTAATGCAGTTATCGAATTTTAGTAGAGCATTACCCGATGGCTGTTGCCCCCCAAGACGCGACGTTGTAAATTACTTTGCTTCCATCCCAAGCCTTCCGAAGCTTTCCTTTTCTCTTTTTAACAGAGAACGTTTTGCTGAGGGCTGATATACAAAAAAACCATACAGGGCAACTCAGCAACTCCCCCTTAAAGAAAAAGATGGCATGTAGAATGGAAAAGGAATTTCGCCACATTAGTAAAATGTTCAAACCAACCTTCCTGCAGTTGATTTGGGGTCAGGTCCTGTGAAAAAGAGGGAAATGTTTATTAGCATTACCAGACTTCCTCTAAGGAGCAATCATACTGGATGGCACTAATACCAAAACAAGAAATCAAGTTCCAGTCTCTCTAACAGTGCATCACTAGGCTGAAAATCCCATTTTTCTTACACAGTTACACCACCAACAGGGAAATAAATCAAATTATGTTCTTAACATATACAGTCCATTGAAATTAGCAACATAATAATACACATCCTACAAGGAAATCTAATTACAGATTCTAAAGAGCTCGTCCCTGTTTAATTCTGTCCAATGAAAAGCCTTGCAAAGGCTCAGTGATGGTCCAATGTCAAGTTAAGATGCAAAAGATCCAAGATAAACTCATTAGAAAGAGAGAAGCAGCAAGAGGATGATGAAATGCTATCCAACATTGATCAGCATGCTCATTACTACAACAAATAAACAACATATGCGGCAAAAAGTAGAAATGTTTCACACCTTAGTCTGTTTAAGGGACAAAAGATAAGCAGCCATGAAGCAGGCAATACCGTCTACTATATCTTCTTGCCGAACAAGAACAAAGTCTTCTTGTTCTGAATGACCGATTTCACCTTCCCAAAGATCATTCTCATTTACCATGTCCCAAGAACTACATTCTTCTCCTACAGCAGAATGTAAAGGGTTCAAGTAGAGAGCATGGTTATGAAATGGAGCAGTGATACAGTTCAATAGTCAAACCAGAGGTGCTGCAAGAAAACCAACACAAGCATAAAAAAGAGATTGAGCTTCTTGGGAATCATACCAGTAATTTCATGTGGAAGAGAAGCTTGGGCACACTCTAGCTTTTCAAGAAAGTCAGGGCATTCAACTCTAGACTTGAGAAGGTCACACAGCTGCGCCACAAAAGTCATAATGCCGCAGAGTTAAGACAGCTTCAGGGACCATGCTGTAGACGATGTTATCTAGTGATTCAACTACCTACTTGACATGTGAGTGCAAGATGCAGTAACATTCATGCCTATAAACTACAACGGACAAGGAATATCAACTGCTGAATCAAACTGTACACATTGATATCACGAATGTTCTCGCAAACAAATCATATCATTCTTCACCATCCATTCATATCAGTGAAGCATATGCCCCCTTATTCCCCCTTCCACGATGGCTCTCGCAGAATTTGCACAAGCTTCTTTTCGTGGTGTGGGTCTCTTTCTCTTCCACATGGTCTCCCCAATACCCAAAAAGATCAGAATCCTAACTCTTAAGGAGAAGATCCGCCGCTCACACATCACAACCAGAATAGATTAACTAGCAAGCTCAGCGGATTCAGAAAATTACCAAATAGGTAGACAACAAGATGACGCGCCCCCGGACAAAAAAAAAAAAAGCCTCGAAATAGCAAAGCAAGCTAATTATGAGATGCGTTGTTGAATTGCGGTTTCTAACAAGTCGGATTCAATCAAAGCCCGAAACCCCATACCTCATCAGCTTCTCGATCGGCGAGAGAATCGAAAGAGCTCTGTCGAGTGAGTTCCCTATCCCTAAACTCCTCGAGGTCAGGGACACGGTCATCATCATCATCATCATCACCATCGGCAGCAGCAGCAGCAGCAGCGCCGTCAGCGTTGTTGAGAAATTCGAGAGCTCTCTGACACTGCTCAAGCACGGCTTGCAAGGTCTTCCGCTTGACACGAAGGCGATCCTCGTCCAATTTCTCCTCGCACGCCTTGGAGGGTGACGGCGAGAGCGGATTTGGAGCCGCGACCTCGAATTCCATGCGCCCTATAATAAGAAAAAGAAAAACCTCCCCCCCGGCGAGCTCGAACTACGCCTTTTTCCAAAGCTCTCTGTAATGATCGGAATCCCTAGAATTGCAGTACGGCCGGCTCCATAATGAAGGATCCGAGGAATCGGTTTGGTGGAGGAGAAGGAGACGGAGAAGGTAAAGGAGAGAAAAAGGAGAAGTACGTTTTTATTTTATTTTATAACATGTTGTTTGTTTGTACACGCAGATATAAGATGACGACGGGGCGGGCCAAGGTTAGCCGGCGAGTTGACGGAGTGGGACGTAGCCAGCCGCCGTGTCTTAAGAAGAAGGCGGCTTTATTTTTCTGTTTAATGATCTTCCCCGTTAGTTAATGACGAGATTAATGATTAATCGAATAGGACTAAGAAGGATTTAACGAGGGATCTCCTCCTCCTCCTGTTGTACGTGTTGTTTGCAGCGTTAGGTTTGCGGGTTCCGTGAGTTCAAAGGCTCTGTATCGCAATTGCACGGCATTGCTTATTGCCTCAGCTTCTCTGGAAGCTGTTGGTTGTAATATGTTACTCTATAAATTTTGTGAACAAGTATAATGATAAATTTGTTATTCCTCATCATTGACAACATTTTAAACTTCTTATAAAATAATATATAATTTGGGAATTATATTAACTCGGTATCAACGTTTTGTGCTAAAATATTTCATTGTCCACATCACCTCCAAAAAAAAAAAAAAAAAAAATTTACTGCGCATTTGTACCAATTCCATGTCCCGTTAGAGTATCACATTTTTCCTCCTCGGATTAGTGGATTCACGGATTGGATTGATGGGTTGTTGGAAAATTGTAATTGAGCACCTATGTATTTTATATTTTACAATTTGATGCCTCAAAGTCAAATGAAATATTTCAATGAAAAAAATTGTTTGCATTTTGGTACTAAAATTTTATAATAACATTTTAATAACTAAAATTTTTGAAAATTTCATGTTGGTTCAAGGTTAAATGCCATTTGAATTCAATTCACGAACCTAATCCATAAATCCACAAATTAATTTAGGGTGTCTTTTGCTTGTTGGATTTAAAAAGGGATGATTTTGGTCAACCTGGATTTTGGAAAAGTTTTCACATTGTGATGAATTTGGCAAAATTTGAGGGTCGTTTGCTTCAAGGATTTTATAACGAGGGTTTTGTCATGGATTTGCTAATTAAAACCCTTGGGATTTATTAGGGATTTCATTATGGATTTGAGGAAATCCTTTGTTTGTTGAGCTATTTTTATCATGGATTTGATGAGGTGGGCATGGTTTTTCAACTTGTCTCCAAATCCATCCCAAGGTATGAGGTGGGATTTATAAAACCGTGGGGCCCATGGATTTGGAGCTAAAAAAACCCAAATCCGTGGGGTCCATAGATTTATCTAAACATTTTTTGACAAAGCAAACAACGGATTGTGTGTAAATCCATGATGGTTGGTTTTTTGGTACCAAATCCATGATACAAATCCTTGAAGCAAACGACCCCTTGGTCTCTGTGTTGTTTCATTTGTTCATGGATTTTGTTGTTATGGATTTATAGTATTTAAATATAAATTATCTTACTTTAAGCATTTTTATTTTCAAACGGGGATATAAAAATAAACCGTCATTATAGTTTTAGTACTATGTCACAAATCCCGCCAATAGATGAGATTTACAAGCTCATACGGACAGGTTTTGTCTCCCAAAATCCATGGTCCCACAGATTGTGATGATCTAGACTCGTAAAAACGTAAGCTTTAAAACATAGATTTTAACTACACTTACAAGTTGAAAGTACGATTCTATCGAAGAAACATTTTGGTAGCCTAAAAATATAAAAAGGCAATGTCTATTTATTACCCAAACCTTTTTCAGATTCTTTTATTTTATCCAAATCTATTGGAATACTATTTATTAACCATACGTATTGCAACTAATCAATATCTGGAAATTCATTATGTTACTGTTAATTATTTACTAATGAATAATTAATAGTATTTTGATAGATTTGGATAAAATCTAAAAATCTATTTTTTTTTTTTATAAAACATAGACATTACCCAATATAAAAGCAATAACACGATTATAACAACATTTTAATCCATCTATCCATTTGCCACCACCTCCAATTTTTCCCGCGTTGGGTTTGCTTGCTCTTGCAATTGTGGTGTTTGAATATTCGCTCACGACGAACATCCTCCAAAACCTAGCTAGCCATTGTGGTGTTTTCAGTAGTCTCGCCTCCGGCTGCTGACCAGGTCGACGACGAAACTGTCTTCTCCATTCTCACACATCTCCAAGAACTTGTTGTATTTCGCAGGATTATAAGCCGCGGCTAAACGAGCATAAGCTACGGCTTCAGCTTTGCTGCCTCGGTCGTATAATGCACTGAAACATAAGACGATAGTGTAATGCAGCAGTTCAGCTCAAAGGATGAAAAATGAGAGTTCGCAGAAGGCCGGGGCGGGAACAACTAGGGCACATTTTTCTATTACAAGTTCAAAGCCAAACCTGGCAAGTATGATCAAGCCATCAAAGTAATGGACTTTGCTCTTTGGTTCTGCCGGCTCTTTCAATTTCGCAACTCTTTCCAGCTGGACTAGCCCTTCTGCATGCTTCCCCTGCCAACCCAAGGGATTCAAAAGTGGTAAGGAGAAACAAAATTATAGGACGTGAATGGTCTTGCCTGATCTGCTTACCAAAAAATTTCTATCCCAAAGTTGGCGCTCTATAACAAAACAGACATTTTAGGAGTTCTGACCTGCTCTATATAGGAAATTCCAGCCCACTGAGAAGTAAGAATAAAGATATCGAGCTCTTCTCCTTCTGTTGGAACCCCATTAGCAAGAATCTGAAAGAAGAGCCAAAGCAGGTTCAGTTTATTGAAACCTTAGTCCTGGAAGTAAAGAAGCAAAGCTACTGCCAAAAGAGATTGTTCAAAGTGCAAATTAAAGCAACTAGTTAAGTAGGAGTGACATTTGCAACCTCTCATAAGAAAGAGCAACTATATTGCGGTTGTAAAGTGAATATGAAGGTTGGGAAAACCTTGGAGATAACACGCTCTAAATATTGAGCAGCCTCTGCATACTCTCCTTTCTGTAGAAGAGTCTGCCCCAAAACAGCCAAAGCTCTTATGTAGTCAGGATCCTTTACATTTGCAGCAGCAGCTGGAGACTCCTTCTCTGGTAGACCTAATCGTGCTCGAGCCTTGGGACTCCTGAGAATGAAATGCTGCAGAATTTCTTTAGCTTACCGACTAACAAATCCTCCTATAAACTCATCTTTTTCGGACACCAAGATCGAGATACATAGCAACCCCAAATAGTAGAAGTAAAATACATAAATAGCTGCACAAGTGAGTCACTAAGACACCAGCAAGATGTGGCAGCAAAAAAATTTCAAAGATTTGTCAAAACCTGGCACCACAAGGAGAATAGTATTGCAAGAAGGAAACACCAAATATAAGTGTCAGATAAATAGTCTGGACATGGATGTGGGTGAACAAGTTCCAGAAGTAATACTAGCCCAGCATCAACTTAAAAAATATTTCTTTTATGCGTGTACAGACTCAACTGTACTTCAAGGGAACACCTACCTAGAATTACTGACATTCTCATACACAGAGACTGACACACAATAGGCACATTACCACAAATATATGCTTTCGGTTCAATGATATTAACATAATGGAACAGTCTTAGAGAAGAGAAATGCTAAAACGTATGTATAACAGTACATTTGGTAAATAATTCCAGCCGAGTATATTAGACAGATTAAACAGACAAAAACTAAATCAGTAACTATGTGTACGAGTATACATTTGATACAATCTTTGGCAAAAAAAAAAAAAAAAAGCAATGCCCAAAATAGCCAAACCTTATAAGTTGTGGACAGAAATGGGCAAAACTATATGAAATTTTGGCCTCTGACATGGTCTGCCCGATCTGTGCTCTTCACTAAAATTTTGGCCTCTGACATGGTCTGCCCGATCTGTGATGCAGATTCGGAATCCTTCTCCCACTGCCTTTTTGAATGCAGGGTGGCTACGGGCTTATGGAGACTTGCTGGCCATGAGGAACTTCGCTCATCCCTTGGCGGGCTGGCCCCGGATGATGCATGGAAGCAATTAATTTTTGGTAGGAACTTGTCCAAAAGCGAGATTGCTGATGTGGTTTTTATTCTATGGCGGATTTGGAAGGCTCGGTGCTGGTCGGTTGACACGCTAAAACACAACACCTAACAATGGCCAAGTGTAACCAATGAAAGGGACTGCAGTATAGTGGCACAAGTAATAAATATCTAATCTACGGGTCTCTAAAGTTACTATTACTCAGCTTCAGTTCATTATCTAGCAAACTAGATTAAGGATTGATTTATAAACTACTCTACTGACTACTCTACTAATTACAAGTTGGGAACTCACTTAGGTATGATTCCCCCTAGCTCCTCAATTAGGTCCAAGTTGCAATTACTTTTGGTTGGTATACTGTTGATTAAATTGCGGAAGATCCTAAATTAGCTTGGAATCTCTTAAGCTGACCAAGCCCTCTTAGACAGAATACCCGACAGGCGACTAGCCTTCACCGGGATAGACTGCTAAGGCGATTCACACAGATCTCCACTACTGGAATGAATTCCAGTACAAAGCAGTGAATTGGTTGACTCTCGCACAACCAATTCACCACTATCAATCAAGGAAGCTCTCTTAACCTAATCAGATTCTATCTATCATAGGTTAAAGCATAAATCAAGAGAAGATGATCAGGCTTCAATTGACTCTATAAATCATGCCTCAATCGATTATAATCAAACAATATAGCATCCAAAACTTCATACAAGAAAGATCCTAACACATGGAACTAGGGTTCCTTAAAACCTAAGTGAAGGGAAGTTACTCCATAGAGAAGAGAGAGACTGCAGAAATCTGATCTAGATCTTCAATCTCCATCTCCAAGCTTGATTCCCGAGTTCCAATGGTGAAGAAATCCTCCAAAATAGCTCCAAGAATGTTCCCAAGTCGCTCTCTCTCTCTCTAGGGTTCGTCCCTTGGGTGTTTGGGAACCACAAACCCAGCTCTCCTTCTCCTTTGGCTCGAAATTGGGTTAAAACCCAGAATTTCCCGACTCACACGGCCAGGCCACACGGCCGTGTGCCCGTGTGAGCTTACCCAGATACCCCGACTCACACGGCCAGGCCACTAGGCCGTGCTCGTGTTTCTTCTCCCGAATTGCCAAATGATCTCCGATTGACTTGAAACTTGGGCATATGCTTCAATTCACATTCTAGGACCTGAAATGTGACAAAGGAACACAACCTAGCGTAAAATAGTCCAAGAAAGCAGAAACTCAAGCCAAAATGATCAAGAAACGAGGGTGCAAACATGTGCAAATTCGATGTTATCAAACTCCCCCACACTTAACCGTTTGCTTGCCCCAAGCAAACCAAGTTAGACACAAGGTAAGCTCACATATTTCAATCATACCAACATTGGGGAAAAATCATATAGGCACAGAACACGTGAATCATACTGGCTTTCAAACATCAACACATGAACAACCTCAATAGCAACCTGGACAACCACCATAGAAGACATTCGAGTGAAGCAAAATCGAGTAAAGGAGGAGTCTCCCTTCTGTTCATCAACCAACCTAGACTTGATTCAACCACTTACTCAAGAAAGTCAACTCATGCATAAAACTCAAGAGATCAGAATCAAGACCGAGCCATCTAGGTCCTCACCGGGGTAAAGAGTGTAAAGAACAAGGAAATGAATCACTCACTCTCGACCAGTGGGGTCAGGACAATTTGATGCGAAAAATGCGCATACTTATTCTCTCAATTCCTAACATCTCTTCACCATGACGGCAGCCTCTAAATGTTAGAGTTCACATAAATGGTTGTCATCACTAACTAATCTGGAGGTCTTAGACACAGGTTCAAGTGACTGGCTAGGGTCTTGGACATGGGGAAAAGGCCTTTTAGGTGGTGGAAGTATTCATAGCACAAGGTTCCACATTTCCAAACCCAACAAACTCACAGTCAATCAAACCAGTACTTTCTTTCTGCTATTCTGCATTACTCAAATTCTTCAGAGCACAAGAGCGAAGGAGGTCACATAAATGCTAGTATTTCTAAGCCAGACTGCTAAGAAACACCACTTAATGGGCACTATTCAGATTTTTGGTGGTGGCTCTCTTTTGCTTTCATTTTTTCTTTGTTTTGCTTTCATTTTTTTCATTTCTTAAGAGAACCACCACCTCTGCATATTTTTCAAACACATGCCCAACTTTTTAAGAACTACCTCCAACTCTCACATTATATTTAGCAGAAACATCAGAGAACATGTAGAAACCACTTTGTGGAACCTTCTAAAAGATGCAAAAGGGTGATTTTTCATTGTAGACTGAAAGAAAGGATAACACACGGCTCAAAGGGGCTGACTAGAGGATATGACACATCAGGACAGTCAATTTGGTCGTGGGCTAATCCTATGCCTCCATCATCTTAGCTAATGACAACGTGAATGCTACACATCATGGAAGAGGGAACTATCGCACAAGAAAGAAACGAGCAGGCTCAAATCTCACATGGCTACTTATATGCTCTATCTCTCATTTTGATTCCCTAAACTAGATGCATAACCGACTGTCAAGAACAAGTGATCAATCCAAGTCACAGTTGGTAAGCAAACATTTGAAAAACCAAACCCCTACACAATTCTACTGCACGTCTCAGTAATCATTATAGGTTGTCCTAGTCACACCTCAGTTGTCATGCATTAAGTCGAAAGCCATTCAATTCACCAATTAAAACCACAGTGTCAATATGATCAAGCAAACAACAGTACTTGGAGCCCTCAAATCTCAAATTTGGACAGTGGACTAGGCTCCAAGCACACAAACAGCCAAACATTCACCTGCATACATAATCAAACACCCCCCCCCCACACACACACACTTAAGCACGACATTGTCCTCAATGGAGGAAAGATAAGGAGGGTAGAACGAAGTTACCAGATCAAGGGTGAATGATGATGGACGGGTCAGGCGGTGCATTCCAGAAAGAGAGAGTAATCAGAACACAAACACCACACAAAATCTCACAAAGGTTGAGTTATTGACTCTAAAATCAAATAACAAAACTGACTCAACCGAGGAGAAATAGATAAAGAAATGCAAACCGACTGGTTGGGTTGCCTCCCAACAAGCGCTTCTTTCACGTCGTGAGCCGGACGATGGCTCCTCAGTTTTGGTCCATGCTAGAACCTCCTTGAAGTTGAGGTTCTCGTCAATGAGGTGGAGTCGCACGTCACGAGCATGTGGTATGACTGGTGATGGAAGCTCGTGCACTTGATGCAGATGAACTCTCCATCCTTGAGACCTCTTCTTCTCTTCTCTCGTCCCATTGCCCCAAACCAGATATGACAGCATCGATTGGCCACCATCGCGTCCACCAAGAGGGACCGATGTCGATGTGGCCTTGGTCTGGCAAAGAGAAACTACAAATGGGTCCTTGCTAAGCAGTTCCTCGAAGTTTGGTGGGGATATTACTTGTATTATAGGGCCGGTGCAAGCCTCTTCCACCTCAACTTCATCCTCAGCCTGGACACTACTCGCTTCTTCAACCCCCCTTCCTTCTTCAAAATGTGGTCTCTCTCCTCGGAAAAGATCAAGAACTACCTCTTCTTTGCTTTCTTCCTCATCCTCCACAACTTCTTTCCTCACCCTTTCTCTCTCTTCTTCTTCCATAACTGATTGGAGAGCAAGTCGCCATGCAAGGTTCTCAATAAGTTCAGCTTGCATCTCCTCGCTCGGGCCCAGCATGTCAGAGCGGAAATGGGGAAAGTTGTGATCTACCACCAGATGATACACTTGATCATGATTATCATGGGAGCTTTCCTTGAAAACTTCTGTATGCTCCTCAACATCCTCATGATTGCCTTCTTCTTCCTCCACCTCTACTTGTATGGCAGCATAAAGGTTGTCTTGAGAAAAATGTGAACATGCTTTCTCAATGACCTCTATGTGCTCCTTTATGCTCCGAAGGGTATCCTCTGTTTCACGGGGAAATGAGAAGTCAGTTTGGGCAATGGCCTGGATATGAGGATCCATCTCGGGAAAGGATCTCTCAGGTACTCGAGCAATCTGCTCCACGAGAAGCCTCAAGTGATAGTTTGGATCCCGCTGTGGAGTGTAGCATGGCTCTGCCGGATCGTCCGTGAAGGCTGTGGCAAACCCAAGATCTGATGGTCCTTCTTGTTGTGGGAGGAATTCTTCTTGATAAGGAGATTGGTCTTGAAATACCCAGGGGTCTGATTGTTCTTCGTAGTAGGGGGGTTGGTACTGAAACCCGACTCCATAGTCTTCTCCTCCTTGGTTACTCCAGGGAGTCTCGGGGTAATACCACTTGGATGGTGGTGGATACCCCCAATGGTTGGAGAACCAATGAGGGTCCATGATTCAGATCTGCACCAACAAAAACAAAAAACACCCAAGTGAAAAGCAAGGGTTGAAAACAAAAGAAAAACGCTAAAGTAACAAACTTCCGCCTTTCCTAATAATCTAGAAATTCCCCGGCAACGGCGCCAAAAACTTGACACGCTAAAACACAACTCCTAACAATGGCCAAGTGTAACCAATGAAAGGGACTGCAGTATAGTGGCACAAGTAATAAATATCGAATCCACGGGTCTCTAGAGTTACTATTACTCAGCTTCAGTTCATTATCTAGCAAACTAGATTAAGGATTGATTTATAAACTACTCTACTGACTACTCTACTAATTACAAGTTGGGAACTCACTTAGGTATGATTCCCCCTAGCTCCTCAATTAGGTCCAAGTTGCAATTACTTTTGGTTGGTATACTGTTGATTAAACTGCGGAAGATCCTAAATTAGCTTGGAATCTCTTAAGCTGACCAAGCCCTCTTAGACAGAATACCCGGCAGGCGACTAGCCTTCACCGGGATAGACTGTTAAGGCGATTCACACAGATCTCCACTACTGGAATGAATTCCAGTACAAAGCAGTGAATTGGTTGACTCTCGCACAACCAATTCACCACTATCAATCAAGGAAGCTCTCTTAACCTAATCAGATTCTATTTATCATAGGTTAAAGCATAAATCAAGAGAAGATGATCAGGCTTCAATTGACTCTATAAATCATGCCTCAATCGATTATAATCAAACAATATAGCATCCAAAACTTCATACAAGAAAGATCCTAACACATGGAACTAGGGTTCCTCAAAACCTAAGTGAAGGGAAGTTACTCCATAGAGAAGAGAGAGACTGCAGAAATCTGATCTAGATCTTCAATCTCCATCTCCAAGCTTGATTCCCGAGCTCCAATGGTGAAGAAATCCTCCAAAATAGCTCCAAGAATGTTCCCAAGTCGCTCTCTCTAGGGTTCGTCCCTTGGGTGTTTGGGAACCACAAACCCAGCTCTCCCTCTCCTTTGGCTCGAAATTGGGTTAAAACCCAGAATTTCCTGACTCACACGGCCAGGCCACACAGCCGTGTGGCTTACCCAGATGCCTGTGTGAGCTTACCCAGATACCCCGACTCACACGGCCGTGCTCGTGTTTCTTCTCCCGAATTGCCAAATGATCTGCGATTGACTTGAAACTTGCGCCTATGCTTCAATTCACATTCTAAGACCTGAAATGTGACAAAGGAGCACAACCTAGCGTAAAATAGTCCAAGAAAGCAGAAACTCAAGCCAAAATGATCAAGATACGAGGGTGCAAACATGTGCAAATCCGATGTTATCATCGGTCCATGGCCTTATCCAGTATCTACCCCCAGCGCTATTTCGTCAACTACAACTCCAAGTACAGGAATGGAGGGAGGCCGAGCAGACTAGGCCGGCTATTCCCCACAGCGGCAATGGGTCGGCGCCACCCCCGTTTCCGACCAGAATTGGTCACGGGGGATTGGAAGGAGATCGCCCTCATCCAGACACCATTCATGTTTGGTTTGACGAGGCAGCTAAACGTGATCAAGGCGGCAGTGTAAGGTTTGTGGGATTCCAAGTATCAGGTATGATCCTCTTTGCTTTCGGCAAGGCTTATGAAGGCCTTTCTGATCCTTTTGTCATGGAATGCTTGGCCCTCAGGGATGCTTTACAATGGTGCCTAATGCATGGTTTTGTTTTTGTCAAATTTCATGGGGATTCGCAACAATTGATTCATCGGATGGTGAGGAGTGATGTGTCTCATGATCGGAGTGGTGCTATCTTGGAAGATGCAAGGGCGTTGGCGTCACAGTTCAGCTGGGTTTCTTTCTGTTTTGTCTCGCGCGCTCATCGGGAGTTCGACGATTGGTCGACTCCCGCGCTCTTCTTTCTTCTGTTTATGACTGAATTGTTACCGCTACCTTTGACAAAAAAAAAAGGCTAAATTGATCCATCAAGTTTTGAAAATTTGGCTATTTATGTATATTATTCAAAAAATGGCTATTATGGTCCAAAAAGTGAAAGTTATGGCTATACAGGTGAAGTTTGCCTAAAAATAATGCCATGAAATAGATAGAATTTTGTGCACATGGTGTAAAAACTTACCCCTTGGAAAGTCCAAGTGAACAAAAATCTATATCATAAATTTGCGAAAGTGAGTTCAGAAAATGAGTTGATCATGAATACATTTAGTATAAATAATATATCATAAAATCAACCTAGTAAAAAATGGAGTGAAAGATGAAAATTTTGAGTTGATGAGTGAAGGTGTTAAAAACAAATATAATCACTTTCCTCGTTAGGTAGAGATCAATTCTTAAATTATCTATGTGGGGTAAAACCCATAGTTTAAGACTATATCCATAATTTTGCTCCATTTTTATTTATGTTTGTTTTATGAGGTTCATCCGGAAAATACGGTTGATATGAACAGTTGCCACATTCCTCCACTTATTTCGCTATCTTCCGCATAATTTTCTTGACCTCGTTCCTTCCAAAACGGGTTTCGTGAATCCCCAGAAAACAAAATACAAAAAAAGGAAAATTAGACTCTTATGACATTCCGTTGCTGGTAAACGCCAAGACTTTTTGATTACACAAAACAAAAACAAGAAAACAAGAAAAAACAATACAATACAAACAAATCTATTTTTTTGTGTTGCATCAATCAATCTTCGAATTTCCTTCTTTTTTTCCCACTGCCCCATGTGATATGGTAGATTCCTTGATTTTAATTTTTAGTTTCCTCCTTTTTACTCTTGTATGGGATAATTATTTACATTTGCCAATGGTGGTTGCAGAAAGAAAGAGAAAACAATGGCATTCTAATTGTTGAGTGAAATGTGATTTTCTTGATCAATGTTTTGGCTGAAAGAATCCTGAGATGACGACCAACAAAGCCACCACTGAAATTTCAAATCCATCTCAGGTATTATACAATTGTTGCATTTACGCTCCCCACCATACACATTGTATGGCCGAATTGAAGCTTGTTTCCTCGATCGAATGAGAAGAAGTTCATCATACATTTACTTGTTGCATGTTAACGTTTTCAGTTACCGTTCGTTATTTTATTTTTATTTTTTCTGTAAATTTTTATAGCTAGGAGATGGAGCCACAACGGCCCCACCATCCCTATCTTCAATTGGAGGAGGAGGAGGGGGAGGAGGAGGAGGAGGAGGAAAAAATGACAGCCAGACTCCTCGCGGTGCTAATCCGGTACCTCTAGCACTATTGTCTTTTTTTTTTACTTCCCATTTGATTTTTTTTACATTACTCAAACTGTAGCTTCCATATGCAGATCCTTAAGAGTGGGCCTCTTTTCATTTCATCGAAAGGCGAGTTTTTGTTTTCTTTTATCATGATGTCTCATTGTGTTGAGTTGAATCCACGATTCTCATTGAGTGCCTCTTGTCTAATCCAATGTGTATCATTTCTATTTTGATATATAATTTATGTGTCATCCATCCACAACTTTGACTTTTTGCAATGATGTGATTAAGATGTTCATTTACCATGCTCAATTCTCTAATAACTATAGTCAAATGTCATGCACTCCCCTGATTTTGGTTCTAGGAATTCCTCTTATGCATGATTGAATAATATAAATGCATCAATTTTGTCATTGTTGTAGATAAAATGTATCTATTTGTTTAATGTAGGAATTGGATGGACATCTTGGAAAAAAAGGTGGTTTATCTTGACAAAAACTTCACTAGTTTTCTTCAGGAGTGATCCGGTGAGTAGCACCATGGTTTACCTTTTAATCAATATACATTGTATTTCATTGTTGGATTGATGACAATAGTGAAAGTTTCTACAGTTTTTTATGCATGGCGTGTGATTTTTTTTTAATTCCTTGTTCTGTGTTCTGTTGAAGAGTATTGTTGCTCAAAAAGGAAGTGAAGTGAACTTAACCCTCGGTGGTATTGACCTCAACAATTCAGGCAGGTTGGCTTGCTGTCTCCAATTAGTTATCATGATTTTAAAACTTCTTTTAATGGGATGCTTCATATAGCACTCCTTAGCTAGCTGTTTTCAGTTATGTGATTGAAAAAATTTGTAGCGTGGTTGTCAAAGCGGACAAGAAGCTCCTGACTGTTCTCTTTCCAGATGGTCGTGATGGTCGAGCATTCACTCTCAAGGTACTTCTTTATTTCATATGGTTATTTTCACCTTTTCATCATGGAGTTTAGGCGATAAAGATATATTTTATTCCTATGAGAATGGATAGTGAGAAAACCCTAAAAAACACAATGAATTGGTACTTGATAAATGTGGATGAGAATATGCAACCTCTTAGGGTCACATCTTGAGTTGATATTCAATTATAACCGAAAGAAAAATGGAAAAGACTGAACCTTATATAACCCTCAGGCCTCAGGCATGACATGCTAACAACGCTTAAGCTTTCATTTTGGTCTATCTCATGGCTTTAGTTTTGCATTTGAAATTTGCATATTATATTCATGAACAACACTACTAAAAATCGATTCAATATATTGTTAAATAATAAAAGAAATCTAATATTAACATTGAATATGTGCCCATCAACTTATGATGTGGGGATCCTCCATTTTCTAAAGCTTTTCATAGGTGTTTAGGTAATTCCACTGAAGTCTTCTTAAGATAAATTTGACAACAATATCACCTTACAATTTAAACCTAGCATGTGAAGCCCTTTTATGTTTTGATGTCAGGCCATTATGCATCCTATCAACTCTTAAATTTATATACATTCATTGTTTAGAGTATTGATCAATCAAATTATAATCAAGAAGGTAATGCCCGAAAACTTGAAATCTAGTTCGTTGCTACAAGGTTTTATATACTCTATCAGAAAAGAGTTAAGACCTTGGTTTGTAATCAATATGTGTGCAGAGTCTGCACAAAGAACCTAATAATTAAAAATATCTTTACCTTTAATGTCCTTTTGAGATTAATAAGAAGGTATTAATTAAAACAATAGTAAAATTGCACAAGACATGAAAAACATGGTTGGCTTGGTAGGTATGCACCATGAAAAGCGATAGGGTGCAAGCAAATATGCTCCCTGCATGGAAAATGATGAAATCATTAACTAATATGTCAAGAAATGAAAAGAAAATAACAATGATCTTGTATATTGGGAAGGAAAACCTAGGTACTTGAGGGAACATGATTGCAAGAATCATTCTCAAGTAAAAGTTTGTTGGAATCTCTATTTAAGTATAATGATGCAGGCTGAGACGTCAGAAGATTTGTATGAATGGAAAACTGCACTTGAGAGTGCTCTATCACAAGCACCCTGTTCTGCCACTATGATGCCACAAAATGGTGTCATCAGGAATGATCAACCTGAAGCACCAGATACAAAAGTTGAAAAGTGTATGTTCACCTAACTCAACGGTCTAAAATGATATTTTGGATTAATTATACAAGTCATATTGAGCAAAAACGTTGTGATTAGATGCACAAATGAGGGATTTAATTATGTTCAGTGCTCCATTTGATAGTATTAATATTATATTGGGTTTTGGTATGTTATTCCTAGTTCCTTACACCATATTAGGAGAATCTAATTTGCTTAGCTTCTTTTCCATCCATAATATATGATTTCATAGTTGTTATTGAATGGACCCTTTAGTGAAGTTATCAATGTTATTAGTTTAATTTTGAGTAGAATATTAGTGTTCAAGGTTGTAAGTTGAAACATTATTATTTTAATTTCTCTTTTCAGCTGTAGTTAGTGAAAAGCCACCTCCATCGTCTTTGGTTCTTGGAAGACCAATTCTACTTGCTTTAGAAGATGTTGATGGATCTCCATCCTTTCTAGAGAAGGCTCTAAAATTTATAGAAGATCATGGTTAGTTATCTATTTAATTATCATAACATGTTAAATGTTTTTGTTGTACATAAGAGTTGGGACATTAAATTATTGTTTGGAGTGCTTAAATATGTTAGTTTTATGTTTTATAAATATGCATTTAAGCATTTTCACTAGTTTAGTAAATGCAATATTGGACTATGACATACAGCTTGCACTTTTCACTTGCTTGTTAGTCGTATACCATATGATCAATAATCGTAAGGAAATACAAATTATGTTGTCTAGTACATTTGGATGTATGAACTTTCTAAAATTGGTACCGATGTCATTATTAGCCACTATTGGGAATGATACTCTTTACTTTCTTCTGGTCATTTGATTTAGATGGAGATAATTTTCTCTTGAGTCACACATATAATTGAGATCTTAAGCTCATCCTGATGATTAGGACCTTAGCTAGAAATAAAAATTTATATGTTGTTAAATAAATTAAGATACTCCGTTAAATTTATGAACTACTAGTATCTACTTTTTGTTGTTGCCTTATTATGTTTTAAGGAAACATAAGTTGAATTGTCTATCGTTTGTTTTTTAGCTTATGAAGCTTTCGGGAGGTAATCTCTATTGAATATAACTTATTGAAATATCCCTTGAGTTGTCATCCTTCTTAGGATATATTCCAATATCACCACTTGTGGTATTTTGTTCTATTTTGCACTCCTTAGTGGTCCAACCTGATAAACTAAAAATTATTGACAGGGGTTAAGGTGGAAGGAATATTGCGACAAGCTGCAGATGTTGATGATGTTGAGCATCGTATTCGGGAGTATGAACAAGGTTTTTTTTTCAAATGTATTTTATTATATAAGCTTTTATGTAACTTTCAATAAGAGACTATATTTCGATCCTTAATTCCACGTATGTCGGAAGAACTTAAAACTTGTAATTTTTCCTTTTATAGTTTCAGAAACTCATATCTTAAGCGCGCATATTTATTTAAATTGATTCATAAATTCAATCTTCCATTTGTAAGGGTCTTAAGTCATTCTTCATGAATTAATGTTTTTGCATCATTCTTTATGTTTCAGGGAAGACAGAGTTCTCTCCTGGGGAGGATGCTCATGTAATCGGTGATTGTATTAAGGTTTGTTCTTCCGGAAAAATTACTAGTGCTCGATCTCACAACTACCTCCTTTTTAACTGTTGTCTTTTTCTATTACCTCTTAACAGTACTTTCTACGAGAATTGCCATCTTCTCCAGTACCTACATCTTGTTGCC